CAGGCAGAACTGGTAAAATGGGTCGTACATCAGTTAAGATTTTAAATATGCTCAGTAATGTTGAGCTGTCCGACTATTGTGGATATACAAATGTGAAAAAATCTACTATTTCTAATTAGATAGCAGCAAAGCTACACTGATGATTCAGGAATCCACCGTATCAATGACTGGTGAATTAGGAATACACATTCCCCCAGCGATTTTCGTATTCTTTTGTTCCTGGGCACTGTCCTCATTTAAAGTTTCCTCCAGTACTCATACTTTCTGGACTTTTCTGAGAAACGTTCCCTTCTTCGTACGTACCAGAAGTTCCCGAAGCAGTCCGTCGCGCCCAGTTTTCACCACTTCGATTATGCCCTTTGGCCACGGACCCCTTGGCATGAGTACATCGGAGACTAAGTCAGCTATCCTTAAACTGTGCCTCTTCGCATGACACTTTTGACGAGCCTGTAGTCTCGGCAATTAATACCATAATCATTGTTTCCGAAATTCATGAGACATGCTGCAACTGTCAGCACTGATTTGTCAGTCCTTTGGGAAACTGTGTCTGCTCCGGTCCAGGATCCTGCCAGCTGTTAAAGTCAACACTTGACTGGGCAATATAGTGCCGTACTCGTCGGGATGACCTGGATTGGGTATCAAGGGTCTTTGGTTCAGTATTCTTTCCATCTCAGCCATTGCTGTCTGAAGAATTTCATCGTTGATTGGTTACCTACCAAGTATCACTCTTTGAATCATTCGTATTGATTGGATCAGGCGTTCCTAAGTGCCGCCACGATGACTCGCGTTGGGAGGGTTAAAGGCCCTTTCGCAATTCCTTTCGTTCAATTTCTAGTGCAGCTGAAAATAGTTCCAAGATCGAATAAGGGTTTCCAATTCACTTTTGGCTCCCCTTACATTTTGTCCATTATTACCATGCACTCTCAGTAATATTCCACGTCGCGACCCAAATCTTGAAAAGGCGCGCAGGCAAGAGTCCGTATCCATAGTGTGTGTTATTTCGACATGTACGACCCTCATTGAGAGAAAAGTGAAGATAGAACAGTACCGCTTCCCCCATTGTTCGTTTTTCCTTTACTAATAATGATCCGACATAGTTGATGCCGACAGCGGTAAAAGCTGGATAGTATGTTACACAACGGTCTTTGATGAGAGGGGCCATCTGTTGCTCATAGAGCCGAGACTTCCAGATCTTACAGAGTGCGCAATCCTTCAACGCTTTGCAAAGTGCTAAAACATCACACAGGATCCAGCAGCGCTGATACGATTCGGAAAGAACGTGGGATGCTTCGACATGTTCATTTCTTTCATTACAATCTATACTAATCAGCCTAATCACAAAATGTTGGCCGGGAAGCAGGACAGGATGTCTAGCGTTATGCGGTAATTGTGACCAATTCAATCTACCACCCACTCATAGAAAACCGTTAAGAAGAATGGGTACAGCCCTTTCAACGAACCATTTGACGTTTCAAACACCTGACTGCTTCGTTCAGTCGATTCTTTGCCAGTACTTTCTTCTCATCATCAAAGAATAGCTGTTGCTCATTTCGCACTACTTCTACTTCCGCTTCGTTAACTTCGGACAATGTCAAAAAATCCTTAGTCAGGTTACGCAAACAACTCCCGCATCTTCTCATCAAATGCCGCTTAAATCAGCAATATAGCCGCACGTCGTTTCAGCTTGACCCAGCTACTACAGCTTGTGAGCCTGGACAACCAACTGTTCGTTAATATGGCACAGTTGACAATTACGCATTCCTCCTTCAGCCACTCGTTCGGAATTTCGCCCAAAACTTCCGGTGTCTTGGACCAATGGACTTCTTCGACACGCAGGAAAATAGGCTCGTCAAGCCATTTTCTCAGCTGGACTTCATCATTCACTCGCAGTTCACGACAGGCTATATCTCCATGGTTCACCAATATTTCGACTTATCTCCACTGCACCTCGGATAGTTTGTTTGCAACGAAAGTTGTGAACTTTCTGGCTGGCCCGTAGCCTAAAGGTAACATGCTTGCCTTGTAATCTGACGGCGCGGGTTCGAGCCTGCGTAGGGGCAGGGCGACTCTCGCAGTAGCTTTAGCCCACGTGCAACAGGTGGTGGTTGCGCGGCAGCGAAGCTTCGATATTGCGTACCGGCGTACTGCTGATGCCTTTAGAACGATTCAGCTGTAGCACCATCGAGTCCGTCCAAAGTATCAAGGATCCCTTTAGCCGCAACTCTTGAACTGCTTGAATGGCTAACCGGAGGGCAAGCACCACCGCTGTTAATTCTAATCGCGGTATTGTAACTGCGAAACTCGCCACCTCAGCATAATGAAGGTAGACAAAATCGGATTTTTTCGGTCGATGATCCTAGCTCAACAGCCGCTCCGTGTCCATTTTCCGAAGCATCTGAGAAGCAATGCGGCATTAGGGATTGCACATGGCAACTTTTCCAGGACCGTTTTAATGCCGAACAATAGACTGTTTACGTAGAACGCCGTAATTTTTGTGGGAATTTATCCACGAGGACAAAGTGACACATGATCAAGAACTAATGAAGCTATTCTACACGAACCGCGAACTTATGAATACACGTCATTAGCCTACTTAAGGTGCAGTGCGGAATATCAGCACTGGTTACTACTGAAGGGTATGCACGATCAGCAATGAAAGCAGCCAATGTCTTGCGGCTTTATTACTCCCATATGTTCCAAGGGGTAACCAGCCTGAATCTTGTTTCTATTGTCTCACGGGTAGGTTAATCCAACACCAGCTTTACTGCAGTAGCTGTGTTAGAGATGTTGTTATCCCTGCGTACCAACAGTTCTCCTGAAGTCGGTAAAATTCGGCAGAATGCTGTGCAAACGACAGTCAGTGATCTATTAGAACCACTGGCCACTTTCTATCCGCTTTTAGAAGCGAACAGAAATCTACCAATATAGAAACGCGAGGTCATCACTCCTATGCACAGGGGAGGTAATCACGTTGATCCCGCCATTTGCCGCCCCATAACTCTGCTTCGTGTTCTTTCCAAAGTTATGGAATCAATCATCGCAGATACACAGATGCAGTATCTGGAAATCCATCGCATAAATGCACCGGATCAAAATGGCTTCCGCAAAACTGCGTAGGTATTAGTAACCTGTTAATTGCACGCAACAACTGGACTGAAACGGTTGCTGGTCGAGTAGGGGCCAATGTCATTTACTTGGACTTCTTAAAAGCGTTAGATCACTTAGATAATCGCATTCTCATGCACATGCTTCGGAACTATAGAATTGGTCAGAAAGTCCTGGATGTTATGGGTAGGTTACTGCACAAACGTCGGTTGGAGGTGAGAATCCTGGAAGCCATTTCCGACACAATAGATGTCGAGTACGGTGTACCGCAAGGTTTTGTTCTAAGGCCTCGCCTATTCTAGCGAAGGCAGTTGATTCCGATTTCTTATCCTTTGCAGATGATATGACCTGCCGAAGTCAATGAGATGTACTCAGTTTTCATTGGTCGGTTGGTGTACGCTTACTCTCTTCCTATTGCTTGTGTTAAGAGCTGGAATAATCGACCGATCAAGAATGTTTTACGGGTTATAATTGCTGTTTTGGTACCGATATGCTACTTTCAACGGCTTATATTTTTGCTACAACATCAGCAAGATATCGCGGGCGATGAGAGGACCGGAGGACCACGAAGGGCTCCGGCCCGACCTTAACACGGCTTCGAACAGGTTAACTCAGAATATTCTACCATGCGATGTAGAAAAATGTCGCATTACTCAAATACCCCTTTTCCCAAATACATAGGCGTGGGGCATGCAGTTTGCGGATTAGTTCCAAGGAGTACCACCTTGGTGAACCTACACTGAATGACCTTAAATTTTCACAGATGCCTGAGGTAGCTGCGAAAAGAGAAAACCAGCACGCCGGCTTGCTGCGGAGTGCATTCGGAAGATTTGACCCATCAATCTTCCATGCGCTCTCAGGTTGGGTAGGCTATCCAAGCTTGGCAACCTTTGTTGAGGTACGACTCCGAGGAGCTGGAGGCACCATAAAGCAGGGAAATAAAGTACGTTAAGGGCCTACGCAATTTCTTATATCGACAGAGACTGAAGTTACTGGAAATTTTCCACAGATGCTACAGACGGCTTAGTGGTAATCTCATACTAATGTACCAGATACTGACTGATCTCGACCACGGATGTCACCATTTACTGAAGCTTAGCCATAACACCAGCCTCTGAAGTAATTGCTAGCGACTAAGTATACAATACAGCAGTCTAGAATGCTGACAGAACCGTTTTTCTGTTCGGGTTTACCAACCATCGAACTCCCTCCCAAACTCTGTGGTCTCCTCCCCTACACCAGGTATTTTCAAGAAAATGGTTGGATGTTGTCCTTAGCTTCCACCACTTCGATACATAAAATGTGCTAGTGTGGAAGATCGTCATAAAATACTCATACTGGATTTGGTGTCACATGTAAACAAGGGAGCAATACACCCATCAGCATTTTTACTTTTATTGTGTTCCTGGCATATATTTTCTATAGTTGCTCCTTATATTATTTTTACGCTTATATTAAATCCTCGTTCCACACTATCATCGTGCTGCAGAGCATTTAAACCCGCACATGTTTAGTCTGATGATCCAGATATATTTCGTTTCTACAGTATTCAGCCCAATCTTCCTAAGGGACTCCTCAGGTACCTGCTTTTTACCGGTGGTAGTTCACTGTTCATCGATTCTACGAACCCCATTTGTCCTATCTGATAAAATCATATGAGAGGTGTGTGAAAATTTCGCAAAGAGATCCCACAACTTGCGCTGTTAGGATGAAAACCTGACCAGAACCACCATCGGAACCGCGAGTCTGTGGGGCGAACAACGGACCATGTTCACTTAAAAACGCCCTTTTTGTTTTTTATTCATCTTGTGGTCACGTTACTTTGCCCACTAGATCTGCATCTTTACACTTATCTCTCACTGTTACTCTATCCCTTTCTGTTGCCACCCACGCAGTACACATATTACCAAAATATGGTGCTACATTTACAAAGCATGGTTGATCGATATGAAGCGATACGAGTTCAGCTTGATCCTCTGAAGGTAAGACTAACAATGTTTATCATGCAGTCCAACAGTCTTTGAAGTCATTGCTCATTGTTTCATTGGTTCATTGGGTCGTAGGGGATCAGAAAGAATATCCCTTGTCAGCTCCATCACTCCTCGCTCGCTGCAGGGGTGATGTGAGTTTTTGAGTCACAGCATTTCATACGAGATGACTGCGGTCGCAGTAACCACAAAATAAACCATGCTTGCGCAGTAACTGGGTGCCTTGCAAATGTCTGAAGCATTCTTCCATTCAAAACAATTAGTTCTATTCAGAAAGTTGAAAATTACAGTGAGAAGACGAATACCGGCAGATGCACTCATTTCGTACCGTCTTGTCAGTGTTGAATACAGTAACTCGGCCTTATAAAGGTTAGATGTTGCAAACAAACATGAAAACAAACGATAAGATAAACAACGGAACACGTGCTACAAGATCCATGGCAATCTGAGGTTGACTGACAAATGCTTTTGGATGCAAAGCACCGGTTTACTGCGGTTTATTGCGAGAGCCTCAACGAATCGAAGGAACCGTGAGTTGGTGTGACGCAACAGATCTTTGAGTGCTGTGTTGACTTCGATCAGGGGACCCGAGCTCATTAAGTGCTGGTCCTCGAAGATGCTAGTGGCCTGCGTGGACTTGCAGTATGAGTTGGCGCTGTTTGATGCACTATCTCCTATTGAGCACACTTCGCATTTACACTGATGACAAGCTCAGGTAGATTGTTCCAGTGTTTTGCCCCACGAGTTGAAAAAGCAACATCGGAACGAACCCGAAGCCTCTTCGATTTAGATAGCTTTCAACAGTCATCCTGTTTAGAATTTTCCGCACAAAGGTGAAAGAGCTTCAGCAACCAATTCCCCACCTCACCTTGTAGAATAGGTCGGATGTAAATCAAGTCACCACGACGTTGACGACATTTCATGGAGAACGGGTTCTTATTTGAAGTTGATGAGAGTTCGTACTCTTGTCGACAGGCTCCGAAACGCCAAGACCGGTTTAGATCCCTGCCTCTGAACCTTCTCCATCAGATCTCATTCGGACTTCTTGAGAGTATAGGATGCTGGTAACCGGTATTCAAAAATTGGACGCACATGAGAGCTGAAAATAAGTCCGTATATCTACGTGGTCACTAGGGATAAGGTCTGCTTATAATACAGAACGTCCCATTGGCAGCGGCAATCTTGTTAAGGCTTCCTGGGTTATGAGAAGGTTTGGCGAAACAAGCATTCCAAACCCCTTCTCGAATGTTGCGTCCCTGACCAGAAGACCTCCTAAGGGACAAGTACCAAAGGGATCAGAGGCACCAACCTGAAGAACAAAACACTGCATGATTTGTAGGTAGCTGCTACTCTACTGCCCAGCTGTGCAACCGGTCTAGCTTTGCATGTAGCCGCCAGAATTTTAAAGCTTATACACCTCCAGCCACGGCTTCAGCTCATTAGCGTTTATCAGACAATCTGTTTGGAGCTCTGATAGCGGATCATTGATGAAGATTCTGAAGAGCTCAACGCTAAAGACAGAGGCCTGCAGGATCCCGTTGATCATAGAAACAGGAGCCGAGCGGGTATCATTCATGTTTACTTGCATGCTACAGCCATTCAAAAGTTCACGATCCAGTGGAGTATCTTCCCGGAGAAGCCAATTCCCATGAGCTTCAGTAGGAGATATCCATCAGGAAGGTTATCAAATACTTTACCGAAATCGACAAAAACAACCTCAAGACGACTGCCGGCATCCAATGACCTCTTTCTCTGCTCGTGAGCAACAAGTAGTTTGGTGATACAAGAGCGTGCCCTGCGAAAACCGTGTTGAGCAGGAGTAATAGTGTCCAGAGCCTCGAGATGAAGCAAAAGGACCCGTTTAAAAATCGTCTGCATGATCATGCAAATGATCGACGTTGAGCAAACCAGCCGGTAGTTTCCAGGATCCTATCGGTTTTCTGTTTTGTGAATAGGCTTTGCCGATGGTTACGTCATCAACATGTTTTAGCAAAATTGTTTCTTTAGGAGTAGATACTGTGCTAACGTAGGTAGAGAATAAGAATGTTCACTGACTACCCCATTGAAAATCTTGTAAGCTATGATAAGTGGGCAGGAGCTTCTAGTGGTAAACCTGATGACCTGATTACGTTTGGAGAAATAAGCATTTAGCAAGGAGATACGGGAAGATTGAATACCCGCAGTTAGTCGATCTCGCAACAGCAACTGATGAATAACACAATCAAAGGGGTTAATGTATTCAAAGAAGCAGGCACGTGTGTAATTGTTCTTCCCATCTAGCGATAACAACACTGTACGTGCTAGACAAACCAATGCGTTTTGTGTGTAAGTTGTACTTCTGTATACAAACGGATTTGGGTCAGCATACTTTCAATAATAAGCTTCTCAAAAGCCTTCAAAGCCGCCGAAGTGTTTGTAATGGGTCGATATCTAGCCGCCCCTTTCTTCGGCACTAACGTTACGCTGCCAATGCAACGATTCGCGGTCTTGTTTTGATTTCGACACATTGAGTACAACTCAGTCAGAGGCAGCGTCAAGGAATCCATAAAGTGCTTGAGGACAACAACACACAACCTGTCAGATCCACCTGCCTTGTCTGAGTGCAGCTGAGTTAGCTTCCTCATGTGCAGTGATGCAATGTTAACCAAAAGCGGTGAGTCCGCAGACCACTGCAACGGTGCAGATGATGAGCCAGCGCCTGCGTCATTGTCAACCCTAGCGACCTCGCAGACAGCGGTTTTTCCGCGGGGGGGGGGTGTCTGTGTTCCATGATACCACATTGCATTCGGGTTTATCTAACACCACCAGAAGTCTAACAACATGCGCATCCATCGTCGCTGTAACTAACCCAAGGAGCTACAGAAACGACAAGAATACCAATGCGCCTCTGAGAACGCCGCCTACCAAGCCACCAGAAAGTGGAAGCCATCTCCTATTTAAAATTATGAAAACTAGAAGATGCAGAACCTTACGGATGTAATATACTTGAGTCAAACGCAAGCTTTATCAAAAAGGAACTACTGGACTAGCTGAAACGTTGGGAATCCATATGCAAAGCAAGGGGATACACGTCAAACAAGCTAGCTTGTTTCGCGTTGTCCACAACCCAAACTCATTTAAGTATGGCGAGCCAAAGCTACTTCAGATGACAGCTCATTTGGGTGACGAAGTGGTGATTACCTTCTTGTCAGCTCGTGGTCTTCGTGATTCGTCGTGCGGCATTCTTATATTCCCTGAACACGCTCAGAGTGAGCGACGGTAGAGGAAGCAAAACCCAGGAGAATACGGCAATCAAAGCGACGAAAGATCGACATTTGTCCATGGTGTCCCGGAAATCCAGTCTACCGACGGGTCGCAGGCCCAAGCTCATGACTTGAAAGAGTGGCGCCACATCCGCGAAGACCGTTCTCGCTCCCCGACATGATCAATAAGACAACGTCAATGATACTATTATTACCCAACTAAAAAGGATGTGGTCCGAGAGTGCTGAAAATACTGTTCCACTCCAAACAAATGATTGAAAGGATGCTCTGAGGTTAGCATATGTGACGCATCAAACTATCACCACAGATACTTTTAAAGGCGGTCGAAGTAGGCTATCATTGACTGAACGAACACAAAACCGTGACAATGATCTTAGCTTTCAGTCTGTCTCGACGCACTGGTGGCACCACTTGACAACACACCAATTTACTCATGAATGCAACTATTGCCCTCACAGTCAGAAAATTGCCAGTTGTACAAATTGATCAGGCCATCGATGGTGTTTACCGTGTACAATAGCGAATATACAATTATTCATTTATTTACCTATATTTACAAGCAAGGTGTGAAATGTCTGTAAATAGTACCAAATTAGTGGTTCGTAACATCAAAAATTCGGAAGGCCTGGAGCAGGCACGGATGAAGTATCAGCTTGCGTGGTTGCGCGAGAGGCCATGCAAGCATTCGGCAACTCACACAACGCTGCAAACCCCCACCGTACGCTGTGCATCGGATATGGAAGAAAAAGATTCCGGCGGTACAGTGCACTGCAGGTGCAAGTGTTGAACGCATGTGATTTACAGAAGCGTCTGGAATTCGCCTGTTTGTCTTTAAACACTCTGGACGTGTATTCCATTTCGTTCACCGATGAGGCGGTGTTCCCTCTGCATGGTGAAGATACGCAACATGTTTGGGCAACAACCAACCCACGGCAACGTAGCACTTCACGTGAGAACATATCGCGATATCGATGGTCTGGGCTAATTTGCTTGGTCGAAAAAGTTTGGGCGCTTTTTCTTTTCCAAGTGTGTGTCCGGTATGTTAGTGGTTAACAGTACCAGTGTCTGACATTTCTTAGCATCCTCGCCAACACCATCCGGCGAATGCTTCGCTGTAGCCAAAACCACGGATGGCACTTCGAATATCTAATTTGTTGACATTTACAGATATTTCACAACTTTCATGTATATATAGGTAGATAAATGACTAAATGTATATTCTCTATTGTACCCGATAAACACCAACGAAGGCTTGATCAATTTGTACAACTGACAATGGTCTGACGGTTAGGGCAATCGTTGCATTTACGAGTACATGGATGTGTTGTCTAGTGGTGCCACAAGTGCGTCGAGACCGACTGAAAGCTAAGAGCATTGTCACGTCAACTGAAGTCAAGAATTCGCTTTTATTCACCAATGAAGGGTGAATTTTAAGCTGTAACACACACGCAATCGACACCGTAAAGCGAATAGCACTGTAACCTTACAATGTGCTCTCGGCAGTATGATTCCCTTTAACAGTGAAAGCAGCCTAATAAAAGCTTACGGGTTGGTTGGAAGCCAGTCATGAGACGACAGCAATACGGCGCACATCGACCAGTCATCACATACGACCAGGCTGTTTTTCTCAGTTGCACGCAAAGCGATCCACTAACCAGTTCACAGGGAACCCTTTTGCTGCTTTTTCATCTGGGTGAAGGCCGACTATCGATCGATCAAAACATGACACGTCCAGTGAGGCTGTGCTGTCTGGTTCAGGTTCGGTTCTTACAACCGAACGGCATGCGTTTGCTTGGTCTTGCCCTGCGATCCACGCATGACAGGTCGATTTCGACTGTGGTGTCTGGCCAAGATTCAGTTCCCACAGCTGACCTGCGTGCGTTCGCTTGGTCTTGCCCTGCGATCCACGCATGATAGGTCGATTGCGGCGATTGTCTTTGCTAACGTTCAATTCTCTAGCCGAACGTCTCGGTTTGACTTGCGATCGTAGGCACACATATCATGTCTCTGTGTAGCACCTCAGCACTGCCATCAAAGCATTTTGGGCCATTGGACAGTTGGCAAGTCAGCGTACTGGTGTACGTCAGCACTTGAGTACAGCCGCTCCTAGCTCCGGACCAGATTAATAAAACACCCTATATTTCATTTCTACAAGACGTTCCAGAGGTGGAAGCAAGCCGGCCACGTTAGACCTCAGCTTTACCAACGAGGAACTCATGGTCGACTTAGTAACAACGTGCACTGTTTGGACCGCAGCGATTATACAACACTAGTTTTCCAGTACATGTAGTACACAGAATATCTTAGGGAAGCTACCCAGTAATCTCACTTCGCAACCAATTATGATAACCTGTGTGACCTAATTAGTTCAACAATCTGATCTTTCCTAGCCGAAAGTTTCCCTTAGGTGGCCAGCGGGGACATTGTAAACAGATTCAACAGGCTCATGGCAATTACATCAGAAACTAAAATCCACCGTTCGAAAAAGATGAAGTCCTTGCTACGAGGAAGGACCTGGAAGTGCATGGCGTTGAGGAACTTGGCATGGCACTCCCACCCCTCCGACCGAGGACTTTTGGTATGTTTATACAACACGAAGGAACCACTGCATCAAACTCGTCCGGGAGGATAAAGTAAAGAACCAACAAGACTTGGTACTAATACTGATGCACTCCCCAAGCTGTTATGTAAGTACGTAAACAAACTTCTCTTTGTTAAGCACAGAGTTGATGCGCTGCACAAAACATGCGGGTAGGCATAAACTGTACAAGAGGCGACCAACATTCTTACACAACAAGTTGACCGTACCTCCCAAGGTGTACAATCATCATACATCCTGCTTACGCAGAGCAAGCCACCATCAGACCTTAATCAAATATACTTTACAACCACAGCTATAACGAAACGGCCGATGTCTTTGCGCAAGTACAGCTCCCCTGGTCTAGACGGCATTAGCTAAAATGTGCTGAAAGTTGTTGCAGTAACCAGATAAACCGTTGACAATACTCTCTCGGCGATGCCTTGATGAGATGCATGTCCCAATGATTTGGAGGCACGGGAGCATCACTTCAATGCACAAAAGTGGTAGTCGTGCCGAACCAACGAATTATCACCCGATAACACTAATTTCTGTAATCACCAAGATCACAGAGTTTATTGTAGCTGAGACACTCATGGGGTACCTGGAGAGTAACCCAATTTTCTTTCCGGTGCAGCACGGATTTCGCCTAAATCGATCAGGTACTACTAGCCTGTTGATTTGTCATGAATACTGGCGGAATCTGGGGATGCGGGTGTAGGAATGGATGCCGCTTATCTGGACTTTTCAAAGGCATTCGATGGTCTTGAATATCGCCCAAGTTTCAGATTCAAGGAATCAGCGATTACATTCTGGGTTGAATAGGCGAGTTTCTCGTTCAACAGTCCTTGAATGTAAGGGTTCGCAGCACCCTATCCCAACAGACCGAAGTCCAGTGCGGTATACTTCAGGGCCACACTTGTTTGTGGTGTTCATAAATGATCACGCGAGAGTGTTATCTTCAAAGATCCTACTATTTGCAAATGCTCTAAATATATGGTGTATTATACCCACCTTGGAGGATCACATAGTCCTACAGAATGATCTGTATAAATATACACATTGTTCGTCGCGAACGTGCTGCAGTCCAACGCCACCAAGAGTAGTTCTCAGCACACACCATTAGAGTACTCACAACTACCGACTAAGGCCACACATTTACAGCGGCTTTATCATTAGTGTAGTCTCTTTATGCTCGTGCAAGCTGATCTTGGCCGTTTGAGATAGACTGAAAAGTTATAAAAGGGTGCAAAGCAGCAGTTCGGCCTCCTGCATAGAGCGTTCTGGAAGTTCGACGCTTTAATGTTTCCTAAAATGCTTGGCGCGTACGTGAGGCCGCGTGCGGAATTCGATATTCGAGCGTAACAAGCTTGACAGAAACACCATTCTACCATGTTCGATACAGCACAAAGTAGGGCAACTAAGTACCTCGGGGTTTGTCCTGCCTTCCCTATCCACGCAGGCTAAGAAGTCGAAATATGTTCGATGGATATCATCGGCATCTACGTGGAGATCTCATAATGACATATTAGATTTTAAAATATCCTCACTACACATGCCACTATCTGTGAAACTCAGCCAAAACACATCTCTGAGGGGTCATCAGTTTAAGTTGGCCACGCAGTACAGCCGACTGGAATGTCGATGGAACTTTTTCTCCTCGTCTAGTGTTCCAGCCCTGTAAGTCCATTCCGGTGCACGTAATTAATGCCTTTATCTTATTCGTATGTAACAAACATGTTGAAGATACCCTGTCGGATTTATACTACGTGATCTAGCCCCTGATCATCAGCTGATTGCATTAGTACAGAACAAACAGTGAGCGGTATTACATTCCTCCTAAATTCCAGGCAGGGGTACTTACACATGTATTAATGCAAACCGCTTATGAGTCATGTAGCTCGTGTGCTTTTTAACCGACGCTGTCTTTTATCTTCTAATTTTCACCTCAATAATCCTGCTGGATTCCACACGCATTTGCTTTTATACCAGTCATACACCATTGCTCCATTAGGCCCAAGACAGAATTCTTGAAACGTCTAATGATGTTGCTTTGCTGTTTCACGCTTCATCCAATTTCACGACATCTGTTGTTTCCCAGAATTGTGTGGACATAGGCATGATCGAAGTGGTGCAGTTCTTCCTTAATAAGAGCAGAAGTGGACTTAATTAAGGTGTGATCGCTGTGTTTGAATACTCTGTGCTTCAGTCTAGGAAATTGCTTAACGTGCGGTGAAAAAAACCGATCAGCATAGACGAAAATAGTCTCTATGGGACAGGAGAAGTTTGGATAACTTACCACAGTACGTTGGTACATATGTGGCGAAAGAAAGTGAAGTATGTGGAGGAAATCATTTCTGTCAGTTGCGCTGTGGTTGGAAGAAGGGATTGTCTCTATTTCTATCTACGATCCTTACAGCGAGTAGCATCCTTGTGATGTTTCTAACTATGGACAACAAGAAATAGCTTAACTTCAGTGTGATCAGAGCAGCCAAGTGGTACTCGATTACAGACCGAAAATATTTTCAGATTATTAACATATAATATATCCAGGATAGCTTCTAAGCTGCTGAGGTATTTTAAGACATTCCGGAGCCCGAGATTTATAATGAATGTAACCACGAATCGTTCGAAATCACCAGCAGATATACACGGTGCATAGACTGTTTGGTCACTGAATACAGCCGTGAAGTCATCGCAAAATTCTTCTGCTTCTGAGTTGGGACAACGGCGTCTGCATCAAATTTATGGAGCTAAGTCTCCTGCAGCATAATGATGCGCAGCTGCGTGTATTCACATCAGTAAGGCATGCTTTCAGGGTTTTATTTTCCCCAGAAGCCAACTGACACTGACGACAATAAATGGGTAAGCTTAGCATTAGAGTACTGTCTGAGTTTGAAGATATTAACCTACTCAAACCAGATCGTGTTTCTGCGTCGTTTACGACCTTTGTCATTGCTTACTTTTTCGACTCTTTTCATCTCAGGTCAACCTAATGGAAACCGGTTTGAAAAACCTGATAAACACAATCGATCGCGGTGTGTACTACTTAAACTGGGATAGTCTAGTAGTAGATGAATATTTGGAATTTTGTGACAGGGTGAGTGAGGATTCTATTGTTTTGTGCGAAAGTACGTTTCATTTCGATTTTTCTGCATCATAAACAAGTATTTTGCGCAAAAATATTTGCACAAAATGAATCCAGGTGAATAACAGTACTAAAGCCTCTGTTCACTTAAAGTTTGTTGCTTTTACGTGGCGAGGTCATTTATATGCGACCATATTTAATGTTCATGGGACACTAGATGGATTGACATTAATTTTACTATTTGCAACCACGCCAAGTACGGCCCACTGTTTCTTCCCTTCATACACAGGTAAAGAATTTGGTTCCAAAAAATTATCGTTTGTGCTGACAATGATGTATTAGCTGTCTTAACATGATTAAAGAATGATTGTGGTCATTGATTGGCAAGTATTTACTTGAGAACACGCAATTTGTACACAACAATACTCTTATGCAAATGCACACATGCACACCTTGTGTACGAAGTGGCTGTAACAAATTCAGTCAAAGAAATGGCAACTTAACTGGATTTGGAATTGGTATGTGATGATGTAGTGAAGTGTGAACGTACCATCTAGTCTAGAAACTAAGCTGGTGGGTAGAGAAGCCAGATAAACGCGACTGGTTGTTCTGATGTTCTTAGAGTGTCCGTCTCTTACTTTGGTCTGTTTTGTTCACCAATACCATAAAAAGTTTAGCGAAGCCTCAGTGGTAAACAGTTATAAGGAAGTTGAATAAAAGGTTTGTGAGTCTGATGTATACTGTCAGTTTAAATGTAATCTATGGGATATGCCATGTAGGTGATCAGGCATTCCTTTCGAAGTAGGACTGTTTTTGTACCCTTAGTGTACTTACACTCAGCCCATTGCCCATAGTTGGCATGCCTTTAATCCGGCAACCATGCTCTTATTTGCATCTTTTTGGTTTGAAGTTCTAGTCACGGGTTCATCTACATCTTTATTCGCTCTGGTCTCCTAATTATCAACGAATACTTCTGGTATGGCAGCTTGGACCATGGCTGCTGGATCCTTCAATTCTCGGATAAGTGAGCTGAGAAATTTCCTTAATCTACCAGACTCTCCCACAATGCTAGCGCACCCTCAAGAGACAGGCTGTAGTCTCTCTTTTTCTCCTACAAGCTTGCAGGGCATAAATTTTGCTGCTTAGGTTTAACAGGTGTTTGTCCAAATGAATGGTGGCTCTATACTTAACGATGTCTGCAAAGAATTTCGCCTAGTTAGGGGTAGCGTCTTAACCGAACATAGTAAAAGGTGGGTGGCAGTGCTCAGTGGTCACATGGATGTGGAGAGTGTCGACTTCAAAAGGTGATTTGGTAAACAAGAACACAGTAGTTGTCTCAGTAGTTGTCTCAGTTTTCAGCACATTGTTGCTCACCCGGCAGTCAATCGCAGTTGATCGATAGCCGAAATTCACCCACCACAGGAGAGCTTGCGTAAATCGTCACACCGACCAACGCAGGCGCACTGACAGCTGGATCCGCGCTCACGTGACCTTCGTAACCACATCGCGCGCCCGACCGAGGTGAACAGTCAAAGTCGGAAAAGTATAAAAGCACAAACCAGTTCACTGGGGCAGGTAACGACACCACGCTCAGTAGCGGAAATCAAGCAAATGGGGGTTTGAATGTGCTCCAAGCAAATGGCAGTTGTGAAGTGGGAAAATGCAGTCGATCAGACAAATTAGTTCGCCTGCTTTCACCCAGTGTTCTACATTATCTCAGCGAAATGAAAGGGAGAAAGCGGAACAGTTCATTAGACGTCCTTAGGATTGGCACTGCGTGTTCCATCATGCAATCCGTCAAGTGCATGCTTACCTTAGTCTAAAGGTGAGACCGAGTAACAGCGGAAGCTGAACAGCGGAGGCACGATAAGATTAATCCAACTAAAAATAGCCTGTGCTAGGTATGCGTAGTTACTGCTATGCAAAGTAATGGTGCAAAATTTGTTTCCGCTGAGTCCCGATCGGCAAGGTCCCCATCTCAGTTGTTTCTTCTGAAATTTGCAGAACGTTAGGCGGAAATGGGCCGTGGTTCTGTTAGTCATGTAGTGTCCCTGACAGAAAAATCAGGCACCACCAGAAATGTGCCACCGAGCTGATCTTGCCGGTTTCAAAGACATCTATCATTAGCAAAACTGGGGAAAACGAACAGATTTCCGCAACTGCAGCTCAAATGTCTCTTATCGAGCTTAAGCTCCCCCGGGACACATCACATATGCAGCGACGACTGCAACTGTCACCCGGGATTTCAATCTTGCGGTCTCTTGTTACCTACGTAGCCAACACGAATAGAGAGACAAACAGTAGATCATCACTACCTGGCAGAAAGCCAGGACCAACGATCACTGGACCCTGCAGCTCAAAGAAGTATATATATATATATATATATATATATATATATATATATATATATATATATATATATATATATATATATATATACGCAACTGTCTACGAATAGACATAAAGCCACCAGCAACCATGGAATTCCAAGGAAGGTACAGAAATAGTAAAAGAAAACACAACACAACAATGTCTATGATTTCGCCAGAGGGCGAGATACTACCCGGTTGCCCAAACCGAAGTAGTGTGTTGAGTTAGGGGACACCACCTCGAGCCTTTGGCTGTATAGCCTGCCCGCAAGGCAGCGGGGCGAATTCAGGGAATCGCGCCCATTGGGAGCCGGTGACTGATTGCTCAGTTCATACGCCTTTCCTTTGTTCCTCTGTCAAACAGGGGCCCAATGCTCCCCAGAATTACAGCATAACCTTGTTGGAATACAATGCTTGGCCAGGATGAAGCAAGGGGCAGTGATGTTATTTAGTGGCGAGTCACGTCCGCCACGTCACAGGGTTGTTAAACGGACGTATGTGGCATTTTATAGGGAGAACGATTGCCAGGCGAAAACCCACCACGTCCTGGAACACTGCCGCCGAACCATTTGCTGGAACTGTAAAATCCCGAACCACCCAGATGGCACCACGAGGTTGTTCGTCAAGCCAGCCAGCTAAACGAAAAGCGGATCTAGCAATAGTGCACAAATGTCCCCGGATGTAGGACCATCAGATTGCGGGGTAAGTTGTCTAAAGACCACCATCAATGGGACTCATTTCAATTTTGATGAAAGTCACAGCTAAACCCAGGAACCTAGTACGAGTTACTTCGCATCCGAGCTCTGCACAATTTGGCAAAATTCGACTTAGTAGATTGACGGAGTGGCCATGGGATCTCCTTTGAGGCCGCTGCTGGCTGATATATTCATGGAGAAATTGGAACATGGCCCACTTGCAACGCACATCCGTGAAACCGAAATGTACGTACGGTATGTGGATGACACCTTCATACTTTGCAAATCCGAAAAGCATGCGGAACAGTTGCTGAAAGCTTTCAATGACGCAAACAAGAATCTCCATTTCACTTGTGAACACGAACTCGGGAACCGGTTACCTTTCTTGGAGGTAGAGGTTATCCGTAACTCAGACGGATCATGCAGCAGAAAGGTACACAGAAAGCACACATGGACTGGGCACTACACTAACTTCCACATCGCAGTACCACTACAGCACAAGCGGGGTTTAATCAGATCTCTCGCCTTCAGGGCGCGCAGTATTTGTACACCGGATACCGTCAACGAAGAACTACAGAGAATCAGCGACGCCCTCAGGGATAATGGCCATCCGGATAAATTTATCATGAAACATTTGAAGGAACGTAATCGAAAGCCACCTAGGAGCATTGCTCCTAAGAAAGAGCTTTTCATACATATACCCTTTAATGGCGATTCTGCAGCTGATATGTTATCCAGACGCCTGAAAGATGCTGTCGAGAAAACTTATTTCGCGGCCCGCCTGAGAATCGTTTTTCACAATAAGCCGTTGCTTACAAAACCCTTGAAGGATAGACTACTGCCGTTGACCCGTTCAATGATCATTTATCAGTACTCGTGCTCTTGTGGTGCACGATACGTGGGTCGCACGACGAGACGCCTATCTCAGAGGGTTCGTGAACATATCCAGGCATGGTTTTACAGAGGCGAAATGAGGTCTTCAGACAGCTCTATCATGTCGCGCCTCCTTGAAGGTGGCCATACAGCTTCAGAGGATGACTTCAAAATCATTTACACATTACCTGAACACTTCTCCCAAGGATTCCGCAAACAGCTCTTATCCATCGCCGAGGCTATGTACATTCACCATCTAAAGCCGGAATTATGTGTCCAAAAACGATTTATACGGCCGATACTACTACCTTGGCCAACGGACACCGTTACTTAGTTATTTGGCTGTTATCTTACCTACTTAATTACATTGTACTACTGAGCCTTGTGTACACATGTTTATTTAGTTTACTTGGTCTACCATCTCTATCTCTGTCTCAAGTTATCGATTTTGGTCATTCAAACAGTCAAGAAGTCAATCCCAGCCCCAGTTGACGCTATCTCCACAATCACTGTTATGTAAACGTTTGGGTCCGATGAGAGTTACCGAAAAGAATTCTTTACCCTGAAATGATTTCTGATCTTGCTTCATATTAATACAAAACTACTCTATTATATGTGTTACTTCCGCAAGTGCGGTGCAACATGGGTCCTGTGGAATGCACATCTATCCTAATGTCAATTGAAGCGCGCGACTTTCGAAAAGAAACCTCGGAAAAGCACAGCACACAGGATTGCCCAAACACAATCATCGTCTATGACGTGGCAGAGCTTCCTTGTCACGATAGTCAAGAGAAAGGTAATCGCGATTTGGAACAATGGCCGTTCATTCTCGAAACACAGTTATTGGATAAGCTCGTTTCTCGATTGCTCAAAAGGCTACCCCCACCAGATTATGGAGGATGCTGCCCCAACATCTGAAAACACACAGCAAAGGATGTGTTAGAAGTTTAAGAAAAAAAAATAGAAAAACCTTTTCGTGGATTTTCGGGTAAAAGCTGCAGAAACGTTGCAAAGACAAACCAAGAAATCAGCTGAACAAGCAAACCTACTGCCGATTACACAAGAGCTACACTTCGCCTCTCCTTCACGCGATAATGTAGTAGGTCCGGACGAGGAATCGGAAGTACTTTGGTCAAATCAATCTGCCGACGATGTGTCATTATCCCATCAAGAGCACGATTAACGTCCGGCCCCACATCGGTCAGCATTCCTACTCACCTGACTCCTTTAGCTTTCGGTGGGATTCTAGATACCGAGAAACCATCCTGCCTCTATACCAATGCTCAAGGCCTTTTCGATAAGCTGACCGAAATAATATTTCAGCACACTGCCAATCTATGTGTTATCATCGGTATCACGGAGACTTGGT